GGAAAGATCTGGTGTGAAAAACAATATATAAAAACTTTATAAATAAATGAGTATAAAATACTATTTAATGTTTATATTCTGTCTTAATTTTATAGATAGATCAATAGATATATGTATGTGCGTGTGTGTGTAAGACAGAGAGAGACAGAAACAAAGATTGATTCAGAGACAGAGAAAGGAGAAAGGAAAGGAGGGAGTGCGAGAAACATAGGGAGAAAAAGCAAGGTAAGAGGTAACTATAGTTTTCTGAAGAGTTCTGTAGTTGGGGATACTAATGTTTAAAAACAACCAAAGATTGCCCAGCCCTTAAAAGTACTCATAATTCTTATCTGTGAAACATTGTTTATATCATGAATATACATCTCACCACGGACTATTTACGCTTAAGAATACCCCTGACAGGGTGTTTGAGCTGACTTTATGAGAGTTCTGAATGCCCTTGTGTGAAAGGCATAACTATTAGCTTCCTTAGGCTGTGAGTTCTGTTGCAATCTCATTCATGCTTTTGGATGGATTCAGAAAGTTGCTTGAACTATAAACTCTGACAAATAGGAGTGATTTTCTATGAAATCCTGTTCTTGATTCAAAACAAGAAGTAGATAACATGAAGAGTGTTGCTTTGTCTCCTTTGCAGCCCTCTGTGTTGTTTTGTTTCAGGAAGCATAGTAAATGAAATATGTTGTTAATTGCTGCTGCTGTGAGCCAGCAAGTCAGAAATGACTCATAGGTGGCCCTCCAGTGGGTTTTCATAGGAGGAGATTGTCCATCTTTTTCCTGCAGAGCAGCTGTTAGATTTCAACTGCATGCCTTTGGGATTGCAAAGCAGCTCCCTAAATGGAATATATTGTTGTTGTTGTTTGCCTTCGAGTCAGAACTGAGTCATAACTCACCCTTGTGCCAGTTTTAGTGTCAGTAAGTCACACAGCAGGAGACTGCCCATCCTTCTCCCACAAACGGAATAGGGGATTATATTTTCTTAAAATCTGAATCTCTGAGACCATGGTTGAGTGGGCTTTCTTCCCAGACATTTTACTTACTTCTGTTGCTCATTTAGAACCTTTCATTTCTTGCCCTTTTATTTTTTTTAAGTTATTAGACACGAGGTATTGCCGATTACCTGCCTTAAAGGTTACACACCCCTGTTCCGTGCCTTATCAACCATGCCTGGAGCCCACAATTCTATCTCAGCTTTATGACAACCTGTTATTTGATCTTCTTTCCTCTAATCCTTCCCCACTAAATCAATATAATAACACATCATTTTAAATACTGTTTTGATTTTGCTGCTGTTCTTTGATAATAACTATTTACTATCAAAATAACATGAAGCATATCATCATTCACTGTCCTTTCTTTCAAAACTCAAGTTTTTCTTTTCTTTGTTTGCTGTGTTTGGATAGAACTCTCCAACACCTGGGGCAATCTCACTCCCCTCTAATATGAGTCATCTGTCCGGTCACTGCACTAGAGCCGAGCCCTCCTGATTCTGCCTTTGAACTTTTGCTCATGTAGTGTTTCTTCTTTCTAAAACAGTGTTTACTCTTTTCCAGAGTGACTCATCTGTGACTGGCCAGCTCATACGCCAGTTCTCTTGTGTACCATTCCTTTAGTTATTTCTGCATATTTTTGTACTTTATAATATAATCGTTTCATTCACATGATTTTGTTCTTTAATGTCTCACATGCTTTCCACACTTTGGACTTTTGTTATTGTTGTTAGGTGCCATCAAGTTGGTTTCAAGTCATGACATCCATACAGAAGGACACAACGCCTAGTCTGCACCACCCTCACAATCATTGCTATATCTGAGCCCATTGTTGGAACCACTGTGCCAGTCTGTCTTGTTGAAGTGTTTCCTCCTCCTCATTTCCCCTCACTTCAACAAGAATGGAGTCTTTCTCAAGGAGCTGGTCTCTCTTGAGAACATGTCCAAAGGATTTGATTTGAACTCTCACTATCTTATTTTTTACGGTACATTCTGGATATACTTCTTCCAAGACAGAGTCATTCACTCTTCTTTAAGTTCACAGTATGTTCAACACCACCATCCAAAGTCTTTGAATTGGTGCCATATACCCAGATAAACCATAGAGCATGGTGAGCACCAACTTTGCAGTTGGACAGAACTTTTGTTCAAATCTCAGCAATGTCATTTTTAAGTTACTTAATCATATGGAGCCTTCTTCCAGTATTTAAAATCAAAGTAATGAGAGGACCTTTGTAATAGAGAATTTCAGTGCCCGAAACAAGAAAAGCTCTCCATAAGTGGGTATTTCTGCTGTTCCGATTATTATTTTACTCATAAAATGGTCTAAAAGTTTATTTTTTATGTTTTTTACTCTTATTGGTTTGCTGTCTTGTACATGAAAATTTAATAACTAATGGATAACATCATTTAATGAATCTGGATTCTTACTATGTGTTACACTGTGCTTTGGATATACTGGAACACTGGGGTTTGAAAAATGCAAATTCCAATGCATAGATGAATAAATAGGAGATAAAAAAAAAAGATCGACAAAGGAAAGAAAGAAGAGAAAGCTCTGTATGTTACTATCAACTTATATTTCTATGGAATAGATCTTTAGCGTGATCCTGCTTTCTAAATGCATATATTCAACTGGCCAGGAGATGTTTTCGAAAAAGGAAAGATTCTCATTCAAATTTGAAATTTAGAAACCAAAGAAGTAAATCCCAGAAATCTCAGAAGATAGGAAATTACCTATACCAGTGAAGGGTTTGTCCTAAAACCTTTGACACAAATTCCAAATCAAGTCATCTAGAGAAATGAGATGGACATGAGATGTGTTCTGTCACAAGGACAAAACTTTGTGCTTTCAGTTAAACTGCAATTAAAATATACTATGAGGACGATGTAACTCTATAGCAGGGATGTAAAGGAAGCACTCCTTCAGATAGCTGGGCTGCGACAGGATCGGCCCATTACCAGTGATGTTCTTGGTCAAGAAGCTGGCTATCTGGTTGGTCACATGCTGACATAAAAGGAGACTTACCTGGGAAATTTCTCAATTTCTCTTTTAGATTGTTCTGGTTCATCTTTTTTTGACAATTTGTTTTGATACTTTGATTATAGATCAGAGAGCAGGCATACAGTATGTTACTTCCTAGTATTGAGAAAATGTCTGTGTAAAATTACTGAGTTCTTAGAAAACCTGCTATTCTCGTACACAGGCAGTTAAGATGGTGCTAATTTCCACACATTTTAAATACAGGACTCACCTGCATAGCAATTCTCTTCAATGACGCATGTTTCTGGACCTCAGCAATGTCACCTACTGCCAAGCCAATCTGTGGGATGACAAAACATTTAATCACTACCAATTTAATGATTCACCTAAAAAGATACTTCAGATCATATTGATTAAGATTTGACAAGTAAATGAAGGGAGCAGGCAGGCAATTTACCATTAATCGCCTTTAAACATTCTACTAATATTTTTTACAGAAAGCTGCAAAACCAATGTACCTTGCTACAGTGATGCCCACACTGATGTGTCAAGTAATCTTAAGTATTGTTATGAAAATTTAAGACTCTAAATATTCATAAATGCATTTCAATTTAAAGTAAAAAATATATGATTGCATTTGGGGGAGCATAGAAAGTACAAGATCTCATATGCAACTAGATGTAACCATGTGAATGTTCAGGAATTTAGCATCCAAGGAAGACAGTGTTAACTTGGCCACATGCAACTGAAGAAAGGTGTTTGTATCTTACATATATATTTGACAAGGAAAGGCACATTTTTTGAGGTGGAAAAGGCTTTTGAAACTTATGGCTAGGTGGAATTAGGTGAGGGGAAGCTATCTGCTTCAATTCTACTCAATATATTGGAGCCACATTCACTCATTTATTTGTAACACCACTCATTGCCAATAAGTTAGAATTGACTCATAGCTGAATCTCAGTGGGTTTTCACAGTTTGTAAATCTTATTGGAGGAGATGGCCTATCTTTCTTCTGCAAAACAGGTGGTGGATTCAAATCACCCACCTTTGGGTTGGCAGTGCAACAACCTCTTCACTAGACCATCAGATCTCCCTGCCAAATACTGAGCCAATCGACAGTCGATCTATGAAGACACACATTTCTACAGTTCCATGTTGACAAATCAGTATTCCTAAGATTATAAAGTCCTGAAATTTTGTATGGTTACATCCAATTTGATGTGATATCTCCTTCTTTTCCAAAATGTTGTTGTTGTTATATGCCGTCGAGTCATAGTGACTCATAGTGACTCATTGCGACTCATAGTGACCCTACGTACAAGAACTCTAAATGCTGTTCTACCCTGTGCCAATCTCGCCATCTCAAATGCACTTATTCCCACCACTCCAGTCACAGAATTGATCCATCTCATCGAAGATCTTCCTCTCCTTCCACTCTGCCAAACATGATGTCCCTCTCCAAGGAGCAGTCCCTCATTGCAACATGCCCAAAGTATGTCAGGCGAAGCTTCACATTCCTTGACTCCAAGGTGCAATAGTATTTTTATTTCAAATAGAGATTAATTTTTAAAGCACTCAGCACAGCATTTGACCACCACCAGTTCAATGTTTCTCATGCAGTTCTTGCTCTCAAGAAGCTCAGAGTCTCATAAACCCACTGAAGAAATAGTTCTGTCTGGGTCTCTACTAGAAACTCATTGCTTAGGGCAATTCAGGGCACACAGTAAGTACACACCTTTTCTGACAGAATGAACAGTATAATAGTATAATCCAGGGTTTGAAAATTCAAACACTGACAATCAGAACCAGGAGATATGTTTCATTTGACATAAAATGTGTTTTGTTATAAGACTTTGTAAGAGTTTTGATGGATGTTTTTATCTTGTTTACAACAGCCTCCAGCAAAATCAACTATCTCGTACCTGCTGGTTCCCATGCATCAGAGATCTTTACTTACCTGGGCTTTGAAGCCATCTGAGTACGGAGTCATAGGACTTGCCAATCACTAATATTTAATGGTAGCTAACAGGAAGTTCTAGGGAGCTTTGGTGGCTTAGTGGCAAGGAATTGTGCTGCCAATGCAAAGGTACATAGTTTGAGTCTGTAAGCTGTTCCTTGGGATAAAGATGGGCAATCACCTCCCATGTGATTAACTGCCTCTGCAAACACTGGAGGGTCAGGTAGGAGTAGGTTCCAACTCAACTGTATGTAACCACAACATTAGCTAACATCTACTGAATGCTTATCACATGTCAGGTACTGTTCCAAATGCTTTGTATTTGCTTATCATAAAACTTATGAATTAGCTTTTATTATTTTTCGAATAAAGGCATCAGAATTTACTCAATAGCACAACAAAAACAATATTCCCCAAACTACAGTAACACAAGAAAGGAGTCTGACAAGAAACAAAGACACTTGAGTGAAGTTTTGAAAGAGAAAAAGAAAGAAAGAATGAACTCAAGGTGAGGGAGTACTGCAGGCAAAAGACCTGCCTGCACAAGATGGTGTGAGGTGAGACGTTGGTAGATATGTTTAGTCCACAGTGGGTGAGCGCTTCAGAGTTTGGCATTATGGCAAGGGCCTTGACTTGTGGACAAGAGAGCTTTTAGATGATTGAGCATCCTGAAAAGTTGAAGGAAAAGTGTTGAGGGCAATTGATGTGCTCAGCTCTTCATTAATAGAACATGACTGGTAAACAATGTGTAAGAAGGTTTGTTGTTATGTTCAGTTGAGTCAGAACTAACTCATAGCTGACCCTCCAGCAGGTTTTCAGGGGCAGTAAATCACACCAGTGGAGATTGTCCATCTTTCTTTTATAAAGCAGTTGATGGATGCGAACCATGTACCTTTGGTTGGCAGCACCATTCCTTACCACAAGGCCACCAGAGCTCCCTGGTGAGAAGGATTAGATTGAGAAATGAGACTTCCTAGCGATGAAGAGATGTCCAAGCACTCCTGATACCCTTGGCATGAGAGACTTTTGGTACTTGAGTCTCTAGTTACTGAGAATTTGAGAGTATAGACAAGATCTTAATGCTTATTACTCCACAAGGCCTATTCCTAACCTCTGACTCTCCATGCACCCAATAAGCATAACACATCATCTACCTCTCTCCCTTATCCTGCTGTCAGTTCTTCCTGTCATTTAGCACTTCCTGACGCTGTGCTACATATACTCTTGTAACTCCATGATAAGTTCATAAGCAGGGGATTATTCTGTTTTGTTCACCACTGTTTTCTAGTACCTACACTAGAGCTACAAGTCCAGAGATGCCTGAAAAGTACTTGTCATGCCAACGTACCATCTTGTGCCCTGAGGCTTATACTACACCGGCCACAAACTTCATTAATGCTTAACACATCTCAGTTACTCCTTTTCTCACTATAGAGGAAGACGACAGAAACTGAGACTATGATCACATGTCCCAGATGGATATCCACCTGGGAAATGGAAGATATCTAACTTACAAGTAAATTCATGAGGACAATTGGAACAAACATGGTGAAGGTAATAAGTTGTATGAAGGACAGAGTTGGATATTCCAATTCATTCTTCAAAAATGGTTCCAGAAAAGAGTCACGATAATTGATATCTCCAAGCATCATGCTAAAGGTTTGGATGATAGAAAGCAGTGGATTGCTGAAGGCATCCTGACAAAAGAAATGAAACGCAAAATGAATCAATATTTCCTGGAGAGAAGAACAAAAGTTATCCTGAAAGACTTTTTTTAAAGTAATATAACTAAAGCTATTGAAATGGAGTGACAGAAAATTAATAAAATGATATAGTAAATTACCAAGGAGTCATGATGGTATATGAGTTATGTTTGGACTGCTAATTTAAAAGTTCGTGGTTCAAATCTACCAGCTACAACTTGGGAAATAGTTGGTCAGTCATTTCTTATAAAAACAGCCTCAAAAATGCAATGGAGGGTCTCCATGAGTTGGAGCTACTTCACAGAAGTGGGTTGGTTTGGTTAAAAAACAACAACAATGGACTGTAATGCAGAACCACAAGCACAAATTACAAATGATCATGCACTGCACATAACATAAACTTTTGACAACAGACATGGTTGTTCAGTAAAACTATCCTTTTCCTAGAAATAAAAATTAATTTAATGCTATTATATATAATACAGAAAAAAGCATTAAAAACTTGTGTTATTATAAATAATTGTATAAGCCATCAAAATGTAAGCATAAATGTCCATTTCCAATATTCACAGCAGGACAATGAACTATTTATTGAAGCAAAGGCCTCACCTGTAAACTCAGGAGGACATAAAAGCTGAGTCCAAAGGCCAGAAGAAGGAAAACAAACACTACTGTGGACCTCAGCAGTGTTTTCATAATCACTTCCAACATAACAATAAAAATGCCACAATTTTCAAATCTAGAAACATAAATATGAAAATATTTACTCACTTTTATGGCCAATTATATTTTAATGCAATATCAACATTTATTATTAATAATGTCAGGCACTAGGTTTCACAGATGAGGTAATTGAAGCCAGTTACTTTTAAAAAGTAGAAAGTTATGAGGAATCAAGTCTTATTTTCAGAACAGTTCATTGAGCTATTTTTCCTTTCCCTTCTTGTTGATTTTTATCCTTACTTTATTTTTTGACCACTAGATTTTTATTAAATGAAGGTGAAAATTTCATAGCTTAACATCAAAATAGTAAATAAAGAAAATATATATAAAGAAATAAAATAGAATTACTTTAAAAGAAAACAATAATGTTACCTAAAATATTAGTGCTTCCAGATACAAAACTAATACTACCAACTGTTTGATAAAGCATGGTAGAAGTAGAGATGAATTGTTTTTCCTTAGGCAAAGATAACTTGTTAAAAAAGAGAGTCACAAGATTATAAAACATAAAGGACTTAACACTCAAGTCACTGAAAAATTAGAAAGAGAAGAGAGTGATGATACTAGGACCTGTCTTGAATATTCTTGCCCTCCAAAGCACTGCTCTGCCACTATACATGTTCTCTCCCCAAAAGTCTGGGCTCTATCTATTCTATGTCTCTTTACATCACTGTACTCATGCCTCGTGGACATAGATATACAATGGGAATATCACAGTTCCCAAAGTCATGAAGATTTTGGTGAAATGTCTCTGTCTTGACTGAAATCTCTTAGCTGAGATATGAGGCAAATTAGTTACTCAAAGTTTCAGTTGATAACTTTTAGCTCCTAGTATTGTAGATATGTTGTCATTGTTGTTTTGTGTCATTTCATAGCTGACCTTCCAGTGAATTTTCAGAGGCAGTAAATCACACAGGAGGAGACTGCCCATGTTTCTCCTGCACAACAGTTGCTGGATTGTAGAATTCTGTGGCCGTGGGCTGGTAGCACAGCCCCTTACCACCAAGCCAACTCAACATTTGACAACTGTGAGAGGGATGGTAGCCTAACCTTTTTACCCTGTAGAAATAGCTTCTTTTGACTTGTTTTCACTCCTGCGTCTCCATTTTCTCCTACACTTATCAGTTCATTTTGAGGAGTTTTCCCAATGGCATGAACAATCAATACTACTTCACTCAATGCTACCAGGTAGTACAGGAATAACCAATTTTTATATTCCTGTTGACTCTTTACATTTATTCTTGATGTGTCTTGACCAATGGTTGACAAGGGCCAATTTTGTCACCTAAGGAACATTTGGCAGTTTGGCAATATATTTGGCTGTAAAAATTGGGTGAAGAAGCTGCTGGCAAGTAGTAGGCCCACTAAACATTTTTCTGTGCAAAGGACAAACCTGCACAACAAAGCTATATGACTCCAAGTGTCAATAATGCCCAGCTTTGGAAATGTTGGTCCACATGCTGAACTCCAGAACCATCCTCTTCCTTAATAGGATTTAAAAGGCATTAAGTCTTTAATTTATATAAAAATGCTCAAAAGGTATAAAAATTATCCAAGTTGATATTACCTCTGAAGATACAATAAGAAGTTCATCCAGTAGAAGAATATAGCAATTGCCCCACACTGCCACTGCACATGAGCTGGAATACCGACGAACAAAGGCAGTACAAAGATGATGCTTGTGGTGTAGATTACCCATTCAACTCCGTTGTCATGATTCCAAAAGTATTTTCGTTTCTGGGGTTGAAAAGAATGAAGAATTACTATCTCTCTGTAGAGATCTAGCAACCAGCTTATGGATGGTTTTATATGTATACAACTAATAACACTCTTTTTTTTTTTTAATTTCCTAGCATTGCAGCCAACTAAAGTGAGGTCATGGGACCAACTCTGCTATCTTCCCCTAGGTGGGTGTGAAGAACTCCTTTAGGTGTGGGTCAGTGGTGGAGATAAACCAGTTTCTTCTGTCATTCAGAATTACGGAAGTCTGATGTCAAAGGTCCCACAAGTTTTTAGTCTTTCCTACTAGAGTTCCACTCCACTTTATGGAGTATTCTTGAAGATGGCACATGCATTCAGTTAGTCACAGGACCTTACTGCATACACACGTATATGGATGCAAATCTCTAAGATACATGCAAGCTAAAGTTCAACTTGCTTCTAAGGAGATCTGAACTATACACTGAGAAGTACTTGGGAAAAGTAAGAGCAAATCCTATTAACACCCTTAAAGATTTCACGTTTTGAACATCAGTTTTCTTATACAGGGAATCATTTGAACACTGATAAAAAATGTGGAGATTAAATCTTACCAAGAAATTATATCATTTAATGACTTGATTTAATGACTAATCTGTAGTTCTAGTTTAAAGAAATGAAAATAATGTCAAATAAGAGTAAACATAATGTTCTAAATCATTTGGGCAAAGTAGAATAATGGTTTTATTTTTCAGAATTGTGACTAATAAATGTTAAAATATATCTATGAAAGTACTTGGAAATTTTAATAAATGAATGCAAGTAACTGAAAGTGTGTGTGTGTGTGTGTGTGTGTGTGTGTGTGTGTGTGTATTTATTGGTTGTTGTTAATGACTGCCATCTTGTCTAGCATGACCTTATGAAAAAAGGGCCTGAAGCCTCTCTATAACTACCATCATACTTAGAAAGTATAATAGTAAATTGCAAATCATTGCTATCAATAACATAATGTAAATATACACTTTTATGATGCAACAATAGAAATTTTCATAGAAAATGAGGCAATGCAAGAAAAAGGACTCATAAAAATATATTGTTGTTTGTTGTTAAGTGCCGTGGAGTTGTAGACAACTCATAGTGACCCTATGAATGAATGACCTGAACACTTGTATAACAGTCATCATTTCTCCAAGTTCATAGAGTTTCTAGACGTAGGCTATTTTGGAAGTGGATGCCACTCCTGCTTCTATACAAGGCAAAAAAGAAACACTAAATCACCACACTGAAAAGTAAAGAGAATCTGAGCCAACCAAAGCATGAACTGCCACCTAATTTACATAATTTTCAGGTCTGTTCTGAATTTGTTTCTCCTTTTAAGAACAATAAAATGTAGAGTATGAATTATGTTCCAAAATGTCCCCTAATTTTATTATGATTTGACCTATTTTTCAAAAATTAAATAAAAAAAAATTAAATCCATTATGGTTTAAAAACAAATCCAAGGAAAACTCCCTTGGAAAAGGGAGTCTTAAGTAGATATTTTAATAACAGCTGTAGGGTTGCTATGAGTCATGATCAACTCAACGGCACTCAACAACAACAACAACAACAACATACTCAAAAGTGCTCAGATTAATAAATCTAACTATTATTCTAGCAAAATATTAAAACTAAAATAAGAGAAAACATAAGAAAAGTGTAAATAATTAATCAGACATACCCATCATGAACAAGTAAGAAGTGTTATCCTCTCTGCTTCAGATGCATAGCAGTAATTTATTTAAAAAAATTTACATTTTGAAAAACAAAAGTGTGTCTCAACTATATGTTAGTCAAACTGCATTGTTTTATCCTGACATAATATTTAAAATAACAATTTGTTGTTGTGTACCATCAAGTCAGAACCAACCCATAGCTGACCCTCTGGTGAGCTTTCTGAGAAGATTGCCCATTTTTCTCCTGCAGAGCAGCTGGTGGGATTTGAGCCATGTGCTTTCAGGATTGCAGTGCAGCTTCTTGCCACTAGGCCACCAGAATTCCCCTGTAGTCAGTTTGCTTTTAGATATTAAAATATTTTAAAATATACCTGTTGAACAATTTGGACCAATTCTTTGCAATATCCAAGGATACTTGATAAAAAAACCAATATCATACAGACTTTTATAGGATATGAATTCTGAAACAATGAAGAATGTAAGACAAGTCATTAGTAAGATATAAAATATCACTAATTTTTTTATAATTCTCACTATAAAATACTTCTTGCTTCATTTTTTAAATTTTCTTAATATTTGATTTAAACAGATTACTAGGCTGCAAATACAAAGATTTGCACTTACTCTCTATAATGTCCTTTTAAAAGTTGGCAAAATATTGCCAATATAATTCTAAAATAATATGACTCTATAGCCATATTTTCATTTATAGCCTGGTAAAATTCATATACATTTACCATTTTATCTACTTTTAAATGTACGAGTGTGTCTTTACAATGTTGTAGAACAACTATTATCTAGTTATGGAAGTTGCCCTTCATCCCAAACAGAAACAGTAACTTCCCGCTTCCTCCTATCCCAAATTCTGGAAACCACAAATCAACTTTTGTAGATTACTTTAATTTATGTACTCCTGCATTCAAGCTAGTATTTCATACATATCAATTCCTATTGAATTAGGTTATAAACTCTCATCGCTGTCTAGTCAGAAACAACTCACAGCTGAGCTTGCAGTAGGTTTTGTGAATCACAAGGGAGGAAATTGCCCATCTTTCTCCTACAGAGCACCTGGTGGATTCCACCCATCAGACAGGCACCACCAGCTTTGGGTTTGCAAGTCCTTATGTATGGTACCACCAGGGATCCCTGTTATGTATTTATTCTTTCTCATTCTTCAAAGAATTTCAAAGATATTGGGCACCACATGCAAATTTGGTAGACTACTTAGAATAATCAAAACTCTTATATTTCAAATATATTGTGAGTTTAACTTTCCTAGTGTAAAAAATACACATTTAATTAATCCTTCATTTAAAAATCTGAAGCACAAAAAGCAGATGAAAATACCGTTGTGTCTAATATTTCTGAATGATTACTAGTTTCGTTAATGATTCCTGTTGTGTTGAATCCCATTCCTGGCTTTATATTGATAACAAGCAAGGTCATAGGTATAAGTCCAAGACAGTAAGATCCTAGGTTCAGTAAATGGGCTCTAAACCCATAAGCCAGCCTAGAAAGAGAAGAACCACATTATCAATTACCAATTTCAACAAAAACACTTATGATAACTGTGGAATAAATGATTATACTCTTTTCCAAAAGCCTAATTGTTACATTCACTGAACTTTAGAGCCAAGATCTTCTAATTTTTTTCATTTTCAGAAAAGAAATCTCTATTTCAGGAACACCCATGACTTGTTTGATATGTCTCATCAACTCATGGAGAAGCTGAGAGTTTAGCTTGTGTGTTCTAACCTCGGGCTGCATACTATTCTCTAGCACACACCTTTCACTTCACTGTTCACTGATCTACAGGATCCAGAAAGTTTCTTAACATTATATATGACAATTTTTCCCCTCAAAATATTTAATTTGTTGCCAAACAGGAACATCATCAATATTTCTTATTTTACTCTTGATATTCATTTTCTTTCCATTGTACTAGAGGCTAAAATTAAAAGATTTGAAGTATAATAATTTGGAAGACTTCTAAACAAATCTAACAGAGCACTTGTAAAAAGGAAATGGTGCTCAATACTCACCATTTCATACATAAATATTCTTTACAAACAGGATGGTTGAGAAGCTCTATGCGATTATGTCGTACCATTGCCTGAAAAATAAGGAAAGAGCTATACACAAAAATATTAAAATACTGACTATAAGTGAAGTTTTTCCTGATGGTGTATAACTTTACATTATTATGAAAGATGCATTTGCTTAATTTAGAAAATGTTAAAAAATTATATCAAGAATAGTAATTTTTTAAAAAAACACTAGGTATGGCTTTTTAAAACATAGACTTTTATTCTAGAGTCCATTGCAGCGTTATTCATCATCGCAAGAACATGAAAATAACTCAAATGTCCAACCACGAAGTCCCATAAGGACAAATACTGAATAAGACATTGTTATAGAATGAGTGTGAGGCTACAAGTAGGGAGAGGTTGGGAGCAGAGGGCTGAGGATGGGCCAGGGGTGGGGTGGGAGGTGGGCGTTAATCATAGGGTTCCACAATTTGATGGGTGGATGGGGGTGGAGGAAATTGGGAAAGATCTGGTATGAAAAACAATGTATATGAACGTTGTAAATAAACCAGTATAAAAGCAAAAAATAAATAAAAAGCACTAGGTAGTGATAATGACTTTATATAGATGCAATTATTTGAGTCAGTTTACCTCTTTTGATGTCTGGCTAATTGAAATAGCATCCTTTTTTTAAAAAAAAAAAAGTATACAAGATTACAGATGGAAAGCACAGTAAAAATAAATAAGCAAGAGTTATACTTTCTGGCCTAGTGCATTAGTGTTGTGCTGCTAATGAAACAGGTCATGATTTCAAATTCACTAGCTGTCCTAAGAGAAAAAGTTAGACAGTCCCATAAAGACTTACAAATAAAGATTTCTAACTTTGCCCAGGGGCCATGCTAATCTTCTCTGTTTCATTCCAATTTTAGTACATGTGTGGAGAGCACGATTTATAACCTTAGAAAGCAATAGTGGATGACCATGAAATAAAATTGGCAGTATATGTTTGTTTTTAAAATGGTATTTTATTTAGGCTTATCTTTCTAGAAATGTTTTAAATAATAGAATCTGTATAAAAATAATTTGCTTTAGATTTTAAATTTTTATGAAAATTGAGAACTGTACCTATTTTTTAAAAATAATTTTCAATCATTCCAGAAATACGTGTGATGTCAAGAATTTAGTGTTCAAAATGGCTTTCCTAGCCATTGACTTTGAATGTGGTCTCATGAATAGGAGGGAACTTATAATAGGGTTTATATAAAGTAATTATTTTAGGATTGGACATTTTTTTCTATCCCAGCAAACTAAATTGAGCAGAATTAGTAGTGAATGTAAGAATTACACTACCAGTAAGGAAGAAGAATCAGAGACTATGTGCGCATTCTCCTGGGCTAGCGATTCATGCATCAGTCAGATCAAAATCTACAAGAGTAGCAGGTACCTTAGCAGAAAGCTAGAGACCATGATGACACAAAGCTGACTTGGGACTGCTGCCCCAGAGAACAAAAGGAGGTAGCCTTCAACCAAGGTTGTTGAAGGACTTAGAGAAGACGTCATATCTGGTAGGAATAAGGAAACTTTCTAACACTGATCTAAGCTGTAAGACTGAAGGGCAAAGGGCTTACAAACATGCTTGAGAAGCTGTCTGAATATAAAATTGTATCCACAGCACTACATATAAAGTGGACATTGTTGGGCATCAAACACTACCTATCTATTATCATCCTTGTATTGTCCATGTTTTATGTGGATTTTGAGTTGAGTTTGGTCTTACCTGTTGTCAACCTGAATTAATCTGTTAACATCCAAATAAATCCCATGATAGTAAGTAATAAATCTGTAAGATTTGTGTGGTCACTGCAATGTATTTCAGATGCAAGTAAACAGTAATATTGGTCTTGTAATTGGCAAAAGTTGCTGCAGGAGCATAGGAGACCATATATGACCATATAGGAATCAGTTTTGTAATGTGGATTTTGTTGATGGGGACAGTTCCCTCTGTGGAGTTAGTAGAGGTCCCTATGACCCTTTGAGAGACAGAACTCGAAGGAAATGAAAGAGAGAGGGATCTCAAAAGAGACTAACCCAAAATACACCCTACACTAATTTTGCCTCAATCTATTAAAAACATAAAAACTGTCAATGTCTTTAAGTTGGAACAAACTCATAGCTGACCCTCCAGCAGATTTCTCAGAGGCTGTAGGGAGTCCTGGTGAACTAGTGGTAAGGAGCTGTGCTGACAATCTGAAGGCACATTCTCTGAAAACCCACTGAAGGGTCAGTTCTGAGTTGGTTATAACTCAATAGCATATAACAATAGCAAACTGTATGGAAAGAAATTGTTCTACTTTTTCCCATTGAGCAGCTAGTGGACATAAACTGCCAGAGAAGTCCTGACTTCAAGTAAGCGGTGCAACTTGCCATGGACTATGTCACAGAAAAAGAGATTAGGATGTATAATGTGTATTTTAGGGAGATAAAATTGCATCCACAGCCCTATATATAAAGTGGACATTGTTAGAAAATGAGCTCTACCTTTTTATTATCATCATCTCTGTATTGTCCATATTTTATGTGGATTTTGAGTTGAGTTTGGTCTTACCATTAGGACTGACATGACATAACATGTAGACTTTAGGGTTATAACAACTATAACAACTGTAGAAAATTACTAAAGAATAAAGCGTGGGGCCACACAACATATACAAACACAGAGCAATAAACTTGAATTCTTTATCCTCACTCTTTTCTTCGACTGTAGGACTATGTTATCAGAACATTGCATGCAAAACTACTTGGTTAATGAAAACACAGGACTTACATTGAGTGTTGTAAGAGGCTCATATTTAACTCCAAGTGCAGGATCAGTCTTTTTTGTGAATTCTAGTGGACACTGAAGATACTTGAAATTATACTCAATCTATATGAAATAGAAATGTTTTGTAAATTATATTCAGTTTACTATAGACCCAGAAGCGGTTACCGGGGAAAAAAAATCAAATACACAAGTTTAAAATTCTTTTAAGAATTAAGTGAATCAAAGTTGATCTTTTTTATCTGGTGAGAATTTAATGAAATTATTTCATATTATAGTTTTAAGAATACAAAAAGGCTGTTATTTCATTGCTTTATAAGTAATATATATTGATAAAAGCTAAATTTTCAAAAGGTCACTTGGATATTTTAAATCCCATTCTTCAGATAAAACTATATAAGAAAATAGAAAAATTACAAACAACCTGAATGATACTGTTAGAAGAAGAAAAATAATGGAGAAAACTGAAGATTATGGAGGAAAATATTACCTTTAAAACAAGTATAATAATTAAACAAGTTGTTATCATCTTTTGCGATTTTAAAACTATAGCCATATTCTTTTAATTCTTCAAAGAACTTAATAAGATATAGTATTGTGATGAGATAAACTTACAGAGTAGTCTTTACATGACTTGTCTTCAGTAGAGTGCATCATGCACAAATCTAGAAGTACCTTGGAAGAGCAAAGATTAGTGAAATACTAGATCAAAAGACTAAACACATAATTTTATCCTATTTCTAAAATAACATTTAAAATATCCCCTCTCCTTTGAATCTTTCACCTCAAGGACAAAGTATAAGCCATTTATTGTAGGAACAAGGATTAAAATACAGCAGTGTTACCACTACCACTGCTACAATACCACAGAAATTCTATGTGATTGAGAAAAAGACATTGAGAGGGAAAATGCATTTACTTATGCTTGAGTAACATTATTTTTACTAAAGTTTGGGAAACAGATTCTATTTGATATCTCTCAAGGTCTATAGAGAATGCCCGCCTTTTTTAAAAATTTTATTTTATTATTTTTGCGTGAGTGTACCGTCAAATCAGATCTGACTGATACAGGAGGAGATTGTCCCTCCTTCCCCTGCAGAGCATCTGGTGGATTCGAACCGAGCGCCTCTGGGATTGTAGTTGCAGATCCTTGCCACTAGGCCACCAGAGCTCCCCTGAATGCCCGCCTTTGGGTTAATAGTGCAGCTCCTTACCGTTTAAGCTACCAGGGTTCTTGAAAATGATATGGTAATATAAAAAGAAAGCAAATAAAGTACCATTTTACTGAGATAATTATTGTTAAAATTTGTATTCAATTTCTTGACTTTTTTGGGTGTTTTTTCATATGTGAATAGTTTGAATATATCTTATGTTGTAAATAATGTTGTAGGGAACGGCAAAGCATATATAACTCTACCTTCATTAAGACAGATCCCTTCAACTGGGGTTTCAGAGTCATAGAATCTGAGAGCATTTTGGACCCCAAAGTGTCATGTGCACTTTGAAAGGATATATACACCTAAAAGTATATCCGCAGGCCATCTTTGCACTAGAATATCCCAATTTCTACTAGATACCATAAGGGAGAGGGGAAATGTATATTTTACCTTCCTATTGATTATAAGAAAAATAGGTTCCAGAAGTATTCGTCTTAAGAGTAGTAGTAAAGGTCGTATTGTAGAAACAGCATCAAACTAGTAGGTTATGCTAAGCACTCTGCTGAAAATGACCCAGATTTCACCTCTAATTTTGTAAATCATTTTGCAAAACTGGTACTAGCATCGCTGCTTGAGCAATAAAGAAAAATACAATGAAACTCAGAGACATGAAATGGCTTGCATAAGGCAATCCAACAAGAAGCAGGACCTGGGTGAAATCTTAGGACTGTTAGACTCTGGTGCTCTTTTTGGTTTGAATGTACATCTTCCCTTGAAAGACTAACCATCCCCTTATACTAATCAGTCTGTTTGTCATCCCAAAAATCTTATTACCATCAAGTTAGAACCAACTCATAACGGACCCTCAGAAGGTTTTGTAGGCTATAAATCACATGGGAAAAGTCTGCCCAACTCTCTCCCTCAGTCAGTGGTAGACTCAAATCTCAATCCTACAATCAAAAGAATTTCACCAGGATGACAACACATGGTGAGGAGCACTAGGCATTACACTTGGAAAACAAGAGGCAGAGGTTCCATCTGAAGCAGCTGGTTCTCAGGTATCCTGCCCTGTGAGAGGGTGTTGTTGTTATGTGCCGTCAAGTCATCTGTGACTCAACAGTGAATGTATGGACAATAGCTCTGAACTCTGCTCTATCCTAAGCCAACTTTATTGGCTCTGGCACACCTACCCTTATAACCCCAGCCACTGAACCAATCCATTTCATCAAGGGTCTTCCTCTCCTAAGCTGTTCCTCCACCCTCCCAAACATGATGTCCCTCTCCAAGGACTGGTCCTTCCTTGCAACATTTCCAAAGTATGTCAGATGAAGCTTCAGAATTCTTGCCTCCAAGGAGCAGCCCGATTTCACCCTCTCTAGGACAAAACTGTGTGTTATCCTGGCAGTCCACGCTATATTCAATACTCTTCTCCAACACACAGCTCAAAGTCATCCTATCTTCCTATCATCCCTAGTCATTGTTCAGCTTTCTGATGAGAGGGTAGTAGGCTCTCTGATTTCTATGGGTAGCCATAGATCTGGATCCTAAGATGGGTATTGGAAGCAGGAGTGGCATCCACTCCCTAAACAACATGCCTCTGGAAACTCTATGAACTTAGATCAATGACGATAATTATAGAAAGGCTTCAGGCTTTTGTTCCCATAGTGTCGCTATGAGTTGTGCTAAACTCGACAGCAATCAACAACAAAAACAAGATGGTTAAACTTCTCAAGGAAAACTTTACAGTCTGAGGAGCCCAATGGAGGGTTTCTGTGAGACTAACCAACTCCATGGTAGTGGTTTTGGTTTAAGTTTAAATGTCTCAGCTTTAATTCTTAGCAGCTAACACCAATTTGAAATAATAATAGCAACAAGATTTATCTCAAAAGACAACATACCCAGAGGCTTTATTCAACCATTAACCACCAGTTTGTCATTTTTTCTCTAGTCTTAATTAATCTAAATTTAAAAAAAAATCTATTTCCCTTATTTTTCTATATTCCACATAAACACTAATAGAATGTTCTAAGACCAATTAGATTCTCAGTAAATATTATTGCTTAACATCTCTTAAACCCAGGGAAAACTAGAAGCATTAAAGATTAAAATTTGGTATGTGAGTACAATAAACTCTTACTTTATGTCATATGACAGACATATACACTCAGAAGAGGTCTTGTTTGGAGGACTTACTTTCATACATTCAGGCAAGTATTCCACCATTTCTACGACAGGACACCCATTACTGCGAGAATGGTGACTAAATGCCTTAAGACACTCATCCCATCTGTTAAAAACAAACAGGTGCAAGTATTAATCTGTCCTGCACCTGACAAAGCTAAATGTTAAGGTTGTGCTTGCAGGGAAAATGGGACCTGTAGTACATGCCAAACGTAATGATCACCTACTGGTCCCCACCACCACCAATCCCTAAATGAGATCCCTGTCCATTATGTGAACACTAGGAATCTAGGCAGATTCCAGGCTGGTGGTTATAATCAATATTCTTTTGTTTCACTAAACACCTTCCAAAGTAGGCAAGCTTTCATCTTCCTTTCCTCCGTAAGTCATGCAATGTTATGTATGTGCTTTTAAAGATGACTGTGTTGGGTAGCTATCTATATTTGCTTATATATTTCAGCAGCATTGAATTGTACATATAATATACAATATACAAACATATGCATCATTCATTGAATTAAATGTCAAAATAATACATGTCAAGTACAGTAATAAGCATGGAATCTATCAGAACACGGAAGAGCTTGCCCTTCTTGTCTTCCCTAACTAGCTGGATGAAATGAAAATGTGCCTACAACAAAAGTTAAACAACTTATCTATTGCCACTGAAAGTTAACTAAGACTCAAAGATTTATGTAAGCAAGTGGCATTTTTAAGATTGTAATAAACAACTGAAAATTATTTTCCCCTCTTTTGGTTTCCTGTGAGGTGTGAATCATCCCTTCTGCCAGAAGATATCAACAATGTTGGACTGTAAGTCATTGTACCTTTTGCTTCTGATGGTGGTAAGAACCACATCCTTTCTTTTATTATGGATTGCAACATGCAAAAACGAAGCATCCTGGTTGTTCAGGAGGATCTCGGCACCGTGGCTAAGAAGAAGGGCCACGGCTTTGGCATGGCCTTCCCGTGCAGCGAAGTGGAGCGCAGTGTTCTTGTAGAGAAAACAGAGTGTGGGAGATGCAGTGAGGATAGGTGTTGATCTCTGGGTTACTCTACAGAATTTAGAATTGTTTAAGAGCAAGTATTAGCAACACTGATGATTTCCTATGTGAAGATCTAATAACTGGTGATTATAAAATGCATAATACTTAGAAGTGGAACTCAGGGTAGATCACAATTTAAAACAAGAGGTTTATGGTTCATGTTTGGCGGAGCTGTGACTGGGAGTGACTTGTGCATGTATTTGTGAATTCCAATGCTCAATTTTGCTTGAATTTTGTGCTGGATGATTTTACAAAGACAAAAACACACTTTCAGTTTTAGGATGCTAGAGGAAATGCAAGAAGACTCCCAAGAGATTTCTCATGTAGCAGAAAAGTTGTTTACAAATGTCAGCCTTCATCTCCCAGTACATTAAAAATAACAAATTGGGCTGACAATTTTTAGTTTTAGCATATAAGCATATTTTTTAAAGCAACAATTAATTCATAAAAGAACATAAACGTCAATATTCCCATTCTCCTTAGAAAGAAAGATATGATAGCAGAGTAAGAGGCAGTTCTTAAAATTAAACACACTTCATTTAATGAAAATCTACCTGGCCATTTTCATTATTCCTAGATCACCAGAGATTGTGAAAAGTTTTCTCATCAATCCACACAGAGGAGCTATTAGAGCAGAAGGACATAAGAGCAGAATGAGGGATAGGAATTCAAATGAAATACAGTTTCTTTTTTGCAAATTTACCCTGCTCTCCTCATTAGTATCCATTCTCCAGTGACTGTGAAACATTTTCATAAATCTACACAAAGGATGTGCCTCAGTGCAACTGGTTCTCAGCATGAGACCACATGTTGGCAGCCACCTTCCTCTGTTTCCTTCTACTCATTCTTTCAAATTCTGGGTGTTAAGAAGTCAACACATGGCTGGGGGAGCAAGGAAGGGAAGAGGGTGGCTAAGAAAGCTATCTTACAATGCTGACGTTTATTTGATGCTGAAGATTTGGGACTGAGAGGTGGAACAGTACATACCCCTTCTTCATCTAGTTTATCTGTGCACTTCATGTTGGTATCAAGAATGACCTTCATAGTCTGAGTGTAACCACCCATTGAAGCGTGATGCAAAGCAGTCCAGCCATAGTGGTCACTGTGGAAGAGTTAAGAAAAGACGTGTGCGTGTGTGCATACACTTTATAGATGAAAGGGGACAAGTGATGCCACTTGGCTTATTAATCCAATAGGTGGGTTTGAAGGGGGAAAAAGCATAATTGAGACTCAAAAACGAGATATTTATTCCTGGTAAAAAACTAGGGTTATGAATATTAGCTTAACAAATTAATTGCTAAAACGTAACTGAACAGAATATAATCAACCTTCTCACTATAAATATTTTCCATGCTATTTTTGTTTATGAGAGATGTCATACTTTCTAATTTGCTCACATATTTTTAACTTGGTTTTATTCCTTCTGTCAATTTCCTTTAAGTATGTTGTTGTTGTTGTTGTTGTTATGTGCCGTCGAGTCATTTGCGACTCATAACGACCCTATGTACAACAGCCCTAAACCATGCTCTATCCTGTGCCAATCTCATTGCCTCTGACACATCCATCCTGAGTACCCCAGTCACTGAATCAATCCACCTCATAGAGGGTCTTCCCCTCCTGCGCTGTCCCTCTACTCTACCCAGCATGATGTCCCTCTCTAAAGACCTGTCTCTCCTTAAAACATGTCCAAAGTATGTCAGGCGAAGCCCCAGAATCCTTGCCTCCAAGGAGTAGCGTGGTTTAACCCTCTCTAGGATGAATCTGTTTTCTTGGCAGTCCATGGTACATTCAATACTCTTCTCCAGCACCACAGCTCAAAGGCGTCAATTCTCCTTCTATCCTCCCTAGTCATTGTCCAACTCTCTGATGCATAACAAGTGATTGCAAAAACCATGGCCTGTATCAGGCGCACCTTAGTCTCCAGAGAGACACCGTTGCTCTTAAGTATTTTGGAGAGATCCCTAACCGCAGACTTTCCCATGGCAATACGTTTTTTTTATTTCCTGGCTACTGGTGCCAAGAGTGTTGACCGTGGAGCCGAACAAACTGAAGCTGTGAACAATCTCAATCTCTTCACCATCCATCCTGATGCTACCGATTGGTCCAGTGATGAGAATTTTTGTCTTCTTAACATTGAGCCTCAGTCCATATTGAAGGCTGCAGTCCTTGACCCTCTGCAATAAGTACATGAGGTCCTCCTCAGTTTCAGCGAGCAGGGTTGTGTCATCTGCATAACGCAGATTGTTGATAGATCTTCCACCAATCCTAACGCCACGCCTCTCCTCATAGAGCCCCACCTCTCTGATAATCTGCTTTGCATACAGGTTGAAAAGGTATGGAGCCAGGACACATCCCTGACATACACCCTTCCCAATTTTGAACCATGCAGTGTTGCCCTGCTCTGTTCTGACAACTGCCTCTTGGTCCAAGTATAGGTTTCGCATTAGCACAATTAAATGTTCTGGGATTCCCATTCTTCTCAGAGTCAGCCACAGTTTGTTAAGATCCACACAGTCAAATGCCTTTGCATTATCAATGAAACACAGATAGACACTCTTCTGGTATTCTCTGCTTTCAGCTAAGATCCATCTAACATCAGCTACAATATCCCTAGTACCACGACCCCTTCTAAACCCAGCCTGGACTTCTGGCACTTCTCTGCTGATGTACTGTTCCAGTCGTTTTTGGATAATCTTCAGTAGAATCTTGCTTGCATGTGAAATCAATGATATTGTTCTGTAGTTTCCACACTCAGTTGGGTCACCCTTCTTTGGGATGGGAAAGATTATTGACCTCTTCCAGTCAGTTGGCCAAGTGGTTGTTCTCCAGATTTCTTGGCACAACTTGGTGAGCACATCCACGGCAGCATCTGTTAGCTGAAATATGTCAATTGGTATACCATCTATTCCTGGGGCCTTATTTTTTGCTATTTCCTTCAAAGCAGCTTGAATTTCTGCCCTCATCACCATAGGCTCTGGCTCAAATGCTATTTCATTAAATTCTTCTGTATCTGCCAATTCCTTTTGGTACAATGACTCAGTATATTCCTTCAATCTTCTTTTGATACCTCCTGGATCATTTAACATTCTGCCTAAAGCATCCTTGATTGTAGCAACTCGAGGTTTGAATTTGGTCTTCAGTTCCTTGAGCTTAAGAAATGCTGAACGAGTTCGGCCCTTTTGATTTTCCAACTCTAGCTCCTCGCACATTTCATTGTAGTATTTTGCTTTGTCATTCCGTGCTGCCTTGTGGAATCTTCTGTTCAGCTCTTTAGTGTCTTGGATTCTTCCTTGTGCTTTGACTTCTCTACGTTCCAGTGCAATCTTCAGAGTTTCTTCTGACATCCATTTTGGTCTTTTCTTCCTCTTCTGTCTTTATAAGTATAATGAAGTTTAAAAAATTTCAGTGTATTTATATTCAAGTTAAGAGGGAACATTTTCTATTATTATTTACCAGCTTGAATGTAAAGAAGGTCTTTGAAATTGTATGTCTAGGTATGTGGTATGTGTATACCTCACATGCATGCGAGCCATTTTTAGTAGCATAAAGCTATAACGTTATGAAGTGATACATGAGAAACTGTATCAAAAGTTCTGATAGTTACTATACTCAAAACCATTTATTATGTGATCCTAATTAATATGTCCAAGTCTCTAAGACTTCATCGATTGATTTCAAATGCTACAACTACCTTTTTTAATGTATGTCTGGAAAATGTCACAAGATAAGAGTGTTTAGTGGGCTACAAAAATTAAGTATAAAACTTAAAAACAAAATAGAAAAATACCCTATAAGAGTCAATTTTCTAGGGGAAGAGTGTGTGTGCATGTACACACATATGTGTATGCTTGAATATCTGTATTTCAATTCCATATTCTCACCTTAGAAATAATGCCCCTTTCTTCAGGAGTAGGTGGACAACTTTATCATGTCCATTTTTTGCTGCCAAGTGGAGAGGAGTCATACCGTGAAGATCCCCTTCATTCAAAAGCCTCATATCCTTTATGTCTTGTAGGAGCCTCTGGCAGGTGTTGATACGTCCATAACTTGGGAAAAAAATGATTAAGTTACTGCTTGAAAAAGTGGAGGAACAGCAAAAGAGAAGAAGACCCTCAACTAGACAGACTGCAGCAATGGGCTCAAGTGTGTCAGGGATTGTGAAGGTGGCACAGTCCAGGGTAGGGCTCAGATCTGTTGTTCATAGAGTCTTTATGGGTCATACTAGTGTCGATGGAACCTAACAACAACCACAAAAGTAAATATTAAGCTGAAGGAACCATGCTTCATATATTGCATGGACTGATCCTTACCTGGCAGCAAAATGCAGTGGTGATTTCTTGTCTTTGCTTTTGACATGAATGGGCACATTAAAGTGGAGTAGGTTATTTACAGAGACTGGAACCCCCTGTTTACATGCATAGTGTAGAGGAGTACAACCATAGTTGTCCTCATCCATGACCAGCTCCTTAATATGCTGCATCTGTGGGGATGAGGGAAATGAATATTCTACTTATTCCTATGGTATTTTGCCAATGAAGTCTTTTTCAAGCTATACTGTAGTTTTTAAAATACAGGAAACTATACCATAGGATAGTATAATATTTTCTAACCAAGATCCATATGCATTTCTTGGGAGGGAGAAATGTAAATAGCCTGAAGGGTACTAGAATAAAATAAGCACAGATAATATTGCAGGCTCTGTTTCCCTACAAGATACATTATTATATTAAAGGCTTTATAGAAAGTCTTACAAGGAGGAAATAAATATTTTTAACTTCACATAAGCATTTTTTAAATGTAGTTGACCATGAGCTCCCTACTCATTCTCTCTCATTTCCCCTCCTGATACAATAATACTCCTCCCTTAGAACCAATGTGTTCTGTAGAAAATATAAATAAGACAATAAAATGACAAGTTCACCAGATCCCTCAAGTTTATTCTGACTCATGGCAAGCCCATGGATATCAGAGTAAAATTGTGCCTCCTAATATGCTCAAATGAAATTTACTTTTTCTTTTAAACTTGTATTAAGTTAAACCAAGAAAAGCCCTGGACCAGATGGTTTTACAAGTGAATTTTATGAAACATTTAGTGAAGAACTGTTACTAATTCTACATAAATTATTTCAGAAAATAGAAGAAGATGGAACCCTCCCAGATTCATTCTATGAAGCAAACATATCTTTGAT